TACTCCGCAACCTCTAAAATGCCTTAAGAGCTTCAAAAAAAGGGCTAATCCACTCTCTCCAAGAAGAATAAGACTCCAATATTGTGACAAAAGAAGTATCAGTTTAGAGGAGGGTAATCCGCAACCTCTAAAATGCTAGTACACTTCCAAACAGAGGGGTAATCCACACTCTAATGAGGAAGAAACTAACTCTGATATTTGAGATGAGTGAAGTCTCGACAAACTATCGCGGACACAGAAATACAGACTCGAGATCTAACAAGAAGTTCAAGAAGAACTGGCAAGAACTAGATTAATCAGATGAATACAAGAATAACATCAGAGAGGTGAGCTAGAGCTCCAAGAGATGTGTTGTCGAGACTGAAGAACTCTTCAGCCTCGATTCTAATATATACTCCTATTTAGGAAGCTTCTCCAGCAACTTCTACCAACTAGGAAGCTTCTAGAAGGTTCCAGAGACTTGCTTCTAGAAGATTCTAGAAACTTATTTCTAGAAGGTTCTAAGGACTATATCCCTAACATCTTCTACCAACTAAGAAGCTTCTAGAAGGTTCCAAAGACTTGCTTCTAGAAGGTTCTAGAAACTTGTCTCTAGAAGGTTCTAAGGACTATGTCCCTAACATTGAGAGGACCTATCAACTATCTTCAAAGAGAGCAAAGATTAGAATATGTGGCAAATACAATTTGCCAAAACTTGGACTTTCTCAACATATGAAGACCACTCCTCATGGATCTTCATCTCTAGAAGGAGGAGGGAGTAATGTCATGGACATATACATTTACTTCAATAATTACATATATGATTAGGTAAATATAGATTAATTTCATAAAGACTTTTAGTAAAGCTTCCTAAAAGCTTCATAGACGTGGTTTTGACTTTAGATGTGTTTGTAGGTGAGAAACTTGGCCAACAAATTAACCACATGTTGGTAGCTTGTGGAACAAGTTAATTCCGCATAATAGCTTGTGGAATAATCTAACCATATAGCGCATACATATATAACTTGTCTTGAAAATTAAGACATGTGGCTAGCAAAGTCAACATGTTTTAGAGGTCTTATAGAACATTGCTATGTAGATCCTAGTTAAGAATATATATGGAGGCAAGAGAAAAGCCTGCTACATTCTTATTAATGCCATTTTAGTCCTTAGTCTTGTTTCAAGACTTTCTAGTTTTTTTATTTTTGGCAATATTCATTCTAGTTAATATCACATTACCTTTTGAGTGACTTTTTAGTTCTTTTTTAATGATACAAGAGTATATCGAGGATTCTCTTTCTTTGAAATTCATGTCCTTGATACATCTTTGATTACTTTTAATATAAGTTGGTACTCAAGCTTGACATCATTACCAAATGATTTACGCAACCTTTCATCTTTGACTATATTTAATATTGGGAAGTATTCACATTCATAGCAATCTTTGCAAATCATAATTTATCACATCACATGACTAATATTTAAGATTTTTAGAAATATGATATATTATAAAAAATAAATTTCAAGTTTAATATTTGAATTAGTAACTAATGTTATAATAAATATAAAATTATATATTTTTAATTAAATAATCATACTATTAATATTTATCAAAATATATTTTAAATATATAATTTAAATGATTGATTATTATTGTTGTATTGTACTATGACTACATTATAAAAGAAAAAAAATATGAATTCTATGATAGAAGAGCCTAATTAAAAGGAATAGTAGAAAAATGTAAATAAAAGTTAAAAATATAATAAAAATATTTAATCTTAATATTTCCTTTTTATAAATAAAAAAATAAAAAAACAAACTCTTCTATTCACTTTGTATGGCATATCTAATTTTTAAAAATCTAAGAATTAATACAGGGAAAAGACCAATTGTAAACCAAGATTGAAAGCAAATCTAAAGACCCAAAACCATACTTCTATTGTGATTTTATAGGCTTTTTTTTTTTTTCAAAAATACAAGCTTAGAGAAGGAACTTCAAATATTTTGTTGAAGACTTATTTTCAAGTAATTTGGATTATTTTGAGTTTTTCAGAGCTTGTCAAAGTCAAAGATAATTTCATTAATTTTGGTTTTTAAAAAATAAAAGGAAATTCACATATTTAAAAAATTAATAAGTGTTGTAATAAATAAAAAAGTAATTTTTTTTGAGGTTGTAAATTTTCTTATATAAAATATATTCTAAATTTTTTAGTTCAATCTAATGGTTGGAATAAAGAGTATTAAATTCAAATTAGATTAGAATATTGGAAATTTAATTTTTAATGTCAATGAGAGTTTTTGTGATTTTCAGCAAATTTTTGTGTATAAATATTTTTGTGTATAAAAAAATTCTCAATGATTTTAGGTTTTGTATTATTTTATATATATAATTTAATACAAAAAAATTATCAAAAAAAAAAAAAAAAAAAAAAAAAAAAAAAATCTACAAAGACATCAAAAAAAATTATAATTTAAGTTTTATATTATTTCTTGAAAAAATATTTAGATTTATGTCAAACTTAATTTACATATGTTATTGAATTGCGTTAGCAACTAATTGTGGAATTATAAGCATTTTTCGAATATGAAATTTATAATATGTTTTTATTTTTATATTGTATAACTAGAGAAATATGCAATATTCAATACTTAAAACTCAACCAATTTGTATTACAAAAATGTAATGTAAAAATAACGATTTTTTTGATGGTGATTATAAAATTTTATGACAATAAAATATGATTAAATAAATCATTTTTTTTGCATTCTTATCTTGGAATTTTAAAAACTACTGAAATTAGTAAATTGTAGCTAAAATTTTATAGTAAAATCATTAACATTGAATAAGATAAAATAAAATATAAATAAAATTTTACAAGTATATGTATGTATGTATGTATGTATGTATGTATATACCCATATAGTTTATATTAGCTAGTGTTATATAATATCTTAAGATCTTTTAATGAACATCTAAATTTTAAAAATAAATTGGATATTAGATATATTATTATACATCACATTTGGTAATAGGAGGAAATACATATTTTTTTCAATTAAACTCAAATGATTTTCTTAATAAAACATATGTGACTAAATTATCTATTAATTTGAATATGTATGTCACTTCTTTAATTGCAACATTTATCAATAAATGTTTTTTAAAGAATTTTTAATTTTATATTATAGAAGTTTTAATCTTAAAATTATATTTAATACATATATTCATTAATATAATTTAATAAATTTAGTAATTATTATTATTATTCTTATTTGATGATTTTTAAAATACAATATTATTATAAATAAGATTATAGATTTATATGTAAATAAACACACATAGATGAATGTAAGGCATAAACTCATACGAAATTGACAAAACAGAAGTGCAAGAATGAATAAAAACAGAAAAAGAAGATCACATTCAAGCATCTATATTTTTTAGGACAATAATGAATTAAAAAGTGCTTACAGTAGGTAAAAAGAGATTGGAAACTGTTAAATTAACAGAAAATTACATGATAAGAAATGTTAAGACAAAATACAATTAAAGTCATGCCTTCACATATACTAGCTTACATATTTGCAATGTAGAAGCTTTTTAAAGAATACAAAGCTTGTAGAAGAAGTGTTTAATTTGGAAAATAATATTATAATTTATTTATTTTTGTACAAAAACATTATGAGAAGATTTTATAGATACATGGTACATTCTAAGAGACTTGTATTTCAATAATAAATTTACAAGTGATTTGTTAGAACTATAAGCTTCATATAATTATTTTTGTATTTAACAAAGAAGTCTAAAATATATATATATATATATATATATATATAGATAGATAGATAGATAGATAGTTAACTTAGATAATAGATAATGTTAAACGAAAATTGTAAAACAATAGTTCTAGTATTTGATTAAAAAACAATTAACCTTAGATGATGTAAACAAAGACTAACATATTTTTTAGCCAAAATTAACAATAGTCTTTTTTTTACAATTAATTTTAGGAAACCACTATATGGACATCCTTCTCTTATTGCATGGATACCTCCAGGTGCCACACCAATAATATGCTACTATTACAAGTCCTTCAACAAACTAGACACTAATTAGATTAATAGGTATAAAAACAACAACAACAAAACTACAAGAACAAATTAATAATAAAAATGCTGTGTCCAACTTGCAGAACCGCTACTTAGATACTCCTTCTTTATTTATTTGCTTTATTTAGTTTTCATATTGTTTATGTTCGTAAGTTGAAAGTTGTTCTTTTTTTGTTGTTGTATTTTATTTTATTTTGTTTTTTAATATACCTTTTAGCCTCCTAAGTGTCCAGCTTGTTGAAAACTTGTAACAATGGTGTACTGTTGTTTTGGCATATGGGAGGTGTCGACCTTATGGTTTCTTTTTTTAAAACTATTGTATAGTTTGTTGGAGATTCTTTCATTTTGTAATTCTGAGTTAAAAGCCCAAATAAAAAATAAAAGAGCATAATGTGAATAGAAATTCATACATGTTTAAGTACTAAACTGCGAATAAATATTACGCTAGAACTATTTATTTTTGTATTGGTGTTGATGTAAGTGGTGTGTATGATAGAACCAAAGTGGTTCAATTTTTTGGTATTTATATGCAAGAAACAAGCACCTCCTTTAGACGTAAAATTGCTAAAATTGGAATAAAATCGCAATATAGTTGGTATATGTATAATTTTTTATATTTTATTTTTTGGTTTATTGATATATATGGAGGTATGTATGTATAAAGGCATAATGAAAAAGATATTCTTTCCATAATTATGAAGCCTAGAATGTACTTCGAAATCATACTTTGAAGTAAAATAAGAAGTAAAACAAAACTAAGCAAATTTAACTTTGAAGTTATCACAAATCCACATTGATAATATAAATGTGTACAAAATGAAAAAAACAATCATCACTACATCAAACATTCATCAACAGCCATTATGAATTTTCTGTAAAACATATTTGCAATAATCTCTAAGTCTGTATAAAACCAAAATTTGTCTACAATTCATGCAGAGAATTGCATTACTTTTAATATATCAACTTGATACAGAAAATAGTTTGCTGTTTGACTACTACCATGAAGCTCAAGATAGGCAATATCCACCCTAATATCCTATATGCAATTTTCAAAGGAAGAAAACACAAACATAAACTAAGGGATAATTGTAAAAAAACCTGACAAAATGCCCATGTACATCAATTCTCGTGCACTATACCCAAAAGTTTTTGTTGAAAAACACCTGTTCATTTATTCACAGAAGATAATCAAATCATTTCATCGCTCGTGTTGCAACAACAGCTATCTCATAAAGCCTTGAAGACAATATATGAATTCGAGTTCACCCATAAAGTAGACAGCAATAACAAGCCATGTTACCGAAAAAGGCCCTTTTCGGAAGCGTGTGTGTTGCGGCGTGACGGCACGCGCGTGGTCCAGCATGCAAGAATTGAAAGCTTTTCGACCACGTAGGATTCAAAATCGGTGATGAAGGAAGAGTTGAGAAACAACAAAAACAAAAGAAGAAGCAGAAGACATAAAGAGATCTCGCAGGCAGCGGAATCGGTCCTGAAGGCCGACAATGTCGACGCAGTGAAGCTTGCAGCGATGGGCAAGAAACACCGCCAATTTGAATGCTGGAGAAGGCGTGCGCAATACGGGAGGAATTCGCCAGCTTAACCCAGCTTTTGATCGACAGGCTGTTCGATCCATGGGACAATGGCTGCGCAGTGTCATCGTTTTTGAGTTTTCAAAGGGGGGAAGGAATTCATGGAATAGGTCTGCTGCGGAGATGGATTAATGGCTTTCCTTGCCGTCCGCAGCTCGCAAGGAGCCGAGCTGCACTGGAGCCTGCGTGCCCACCACCATAGAGGTGCCATACTTGGACGCGAGCTCGGTGCCCAATTCCTTCTCCTTGTCGATCTGCTCCTTGATCCATTTGTATGTGATAGCCAGCCCGTCCATCAGGCGCATCGAGGGTGCCCAGCCCAGCTTCTCCTTAATCAGTGTGTTGTCCGAGTTTCGCCCCCGCACACCTTCCGGCCCCGGAATGTGCTTGATCGGAAGTTTCTTGTTGTCGAAGCTGAGCACGATCTCAGCCATCTCGTTCATGCTCACCATCTCGTCGCTTCCGATGTTCACTGGCTCCTGGAAATCGGACTTCGTCAACCGTAAGACTCCCTCCACGCATTCGTCGATGAAGGTGAAGGATCGGGTTTGCTTGCCATCGCCCCACATCTCGAAGTACTCCGTAGCTGTTAAGGCCTTTCGGCAGAAGGCAGCTGGCGCTTTCTCGCGTCCCCCTGAGCAGAAGGAAATCTCATACTTGGCTTCAATGAACAGGCCTATAGGGAAGCTTAAAACACAAGAAAGAAAAGAAAAGAAAAGAAGCCGCAAATGCAAATGTGAACACAATGTCAGTGAGGTGATTTGGAGAATTTCGATGGACTGTTTGCTTACCCTTCCATGTTCCGTAGGGTCCGTAGATGTTGTGGAAACGCCCAATTCGGCACTCCATGCCGAAGTCCTTTGTGTAATGCTTGCACAACTCCTCTGTGGCCAGTTTCTCGAGTCCGTAGGCATCCTGGGGCTGTCACATGAAAACCAGTTTGTAATTACTCTGTTGTTTCCAAGCAGCTAATTATACACTGGCTGCGTGATGTTGCGGACTCCCACCTCAACACAAAAGTCCACAACGCCTAGTGATCATTGCTCACAGAAACCTACTCTGCTTCACAATTACAGGGGAAGCAAAAGTTACCGGATAACAAAAGACGAATCGCAGGAAAAAAAAACCCAGTGAGAACTCATAATCACTCATTGAACACTGATCCTCTCCTCTAAGGAAAAAATTTACTGTACCAGAGCAGGCCAAGCATCCGATTCTTTCAAAGAGCTCACATCAGTCTCCAGCTGCTTGAACTCAGGGTAAATACACGCGCTTGAGGCATAGAAAAACCTGCAATCCTCCACCAAAAATTCCACAATCAGAACTCCAGAGTTTTCAAAACATCTACAGGAAACATAAAGTTGTGAGGAATAAAAATACAAATATGAATATAAATATAAACCCTCGGTAAATACACAGACCTGAGATGTGAAGAACAAAGAAACATTCATTGTTAACTGTGTGTTTTTTTTTCGAAAAGAAGATCCAGAGCTGCGAGAGGGAGAGAGGCAAAAAGAAGGGGCAAGGGTTGCCAACCGAGAGACGCCATTGATGCGCGCGGCCTCGAGCATGTTAAAGCTGATCATGGTGTTGTTGTACATGATCACGGCGTGGTTGGACTGAATGAAACCCATGCCGCCCATGTCTGCCGCGAGGTTGAAGACGTGGTGCGCGCCCTGGGTGACCTTGAGGCAATTGTCCATGACGCGCAGGTCAACGAGGTGGAACTCATCGCAGAACGCATCCTCACTCATATGTTCATTCTTCTTCCAGTCAGAGGCGATGATGTAGTGGCCCTCGCTCTTCAATCGGCGCGCGATGTGCGACGCAATGAACCCTCCGGCGCCCGTGATGGAGATTCGCAGCTTCTGGTTCGGCCAATACAGCTCGCGGTCCAAGTTCGTGGCCGTGTAGTTGCCGAAGCTCGTCCCATTGCTCTCCGCCATGTTTGTCTGCCTCCTACCACACCTCCCCGACGAAACCCAACCTCAGAATTTTCCTTCTAGACCACCTTTAACATGAGAAACGTTCAAATTCACTCCGCGCTGCAATCTCTTCCCACAAACCCAACTAAAGCTTTCATGAATTGCGAGATCAATCGCCGAGACCTGCTCATATACAGCCCCAGCACACGAGCTAGAAGGGGCTGCATCGCATAGCGCAGCAGGGTGCTTTTGCTTTGCCTCTGGACGGCGTCCCCATCGCCAGAGGCGGCGTTCCTACCGACTAATGGACGGCGACCCCCGCGATTCGAATTCCTTCACGAATTCCACCGCGAGAATACTGTAAGTGCATGTGCATTTTGAATATTAGCATTGTCTATTGATATATATATGATGTAAAAATAATAATCAAAGTAAAATTTGGGATCCTTGAGGATTTCATGGGGTAAATTATTACCATTTTAATATATTAAAATATATTAATCTGCTTAATTAGAAAAAGTTTACTAGACTATGTTTATCTTTAGATGTTGAAGTATAACAATATTAGTGTAAAGAAATTTGGCGATTTTTGTTGAAGCGCCTAATTATGGGATATAATACTTTGTTCATGTATCTTTTTGATAAATACATTTACTTATGCTAAAATTTGGAATTGGAATAAAAATAAGTATGATTGAAAAGGCTTTTATTGTTTTCGTGTTTGATATCATTGTCATATATTTTTGTTGATTTATTTATTCAAAAATAAACATAACAAGTATGATGCTCAAAAACAGTTTATCTAACATCTCAGATTGTAGTAATAAAAAATATATATTGGACTATGTTGTTGTTATATTTTATTGAATAAATTTTATAAAATTTTGCTATTCTGTACAAGTTTTTGATAAGATTATTATTGCCATAAAATCATACTACAAACTTCACACAATATTACCACACCCTACTTTATCTTTTTTCAATTAAATTGGTTTGTTATTGTGTATCGGTTTTTAAATCTTTAGAGAGAATTCCATATTTATCAACAGCACATTGAACCTCATTTTCTACATCTTAGCTAAATTTCACACAAATCATGCCTCTTAAGAACTAATTTAAAATCTTAGATTCGGAACATTTTATATATCAGTTTTTAAAATATCAAATTTGATTGTAACATAAGTCAAAATGTTTTGCATAAAATTTCTTAAATTCACAAAACTTCTGTAATTGGACAAAGTTTGTATCTATTTTGTAAATAGGAAAAATCGATTTACATAATATTAAGTATATCAAATATTCACAAATGTTTTTTGTGTGCTGAATATCATCTGGTTATATATATATATATATATATATATATAGTTCATTGCACATTTTGAAACACTATGCAATATGCATTACAGCAATAGTTATGAGAAATAATTGTTATTATTAGTGTTTGTATTTTGCATAATTTTTACAATATTTTGAAAAGAAATAAAAAGTAAAATTAAAAAGTATTTATTTAATTTCATGTTTACTTGTAAATGTGATATTCTCTAAAATAAGAGTGTAGCAGCAAGCTGCTTTCATATTGCATCATGTGGTAAAGAAAGGGACTTCATTATAAACATAAAGTGTTAAATAATCCCAAAAAAGATTAAAATTAAAATTTAATTAAAATATTTAAAGATTATGGCAACTTAAGACTTCATTTATATTTGTTTCTACACATGCATAGAAATAAAGTATATGTTCACAGATTTTTTGAAATAAGGAAGTTGGGTAGAGAGAAAATGGAAAAAAACAAAAAACAAAAAACAAAAACAAATATAAAAGCTAAACAAACAAGAATAGAGTGTAGATTTTTGGGCATCTAACCATACATATACATGAATGCATATATATATATATATATATATATATGTCATAATAATATTGATGAATCATATTCTAAAACTTATTTATTTATTTATTACTTGAAAAAAATATTTCACATTGGAGTTAATTTAATTACTCTAAATTATTCAAAAGAAGATCAGTATAAATTTTTGTATATAAATCTTGATTTGATGGCCCAATTTTTTTCTTGTAAGACAATTCAGTACAAAAAAAATGTTAGTTGATTTTTATTATTATAATAATCTAGATGTAATAGATCCTTATACACATAGTTTATTTCTATAATTGTTGTTTGTAAGTATTTGATGTCCTATTAATACTAAGTTTCATATGTGACTTAAACATTTCAGTTTGTACACGTTTATTACTCCAAAAAAATTCTTTTAATTAAGAACACCTTATAATAAAATAATTTCTTTTACTTGGAATACATACTATTAACATTGCATCTTACTAATCTCATTATTTAATTTATATTGTCCCTAAAGAAACATAATAAACTTGAAAAAATACTACGCCTTTCAATGCAATTCAACCACCAAACGATAATGCCTTAACTTTATTATGTTTTTTATTTTTACAATCTATTATCTTGGGTTTTTTTGAAAACAGTTGACTTAAACCATTTCTTGAGATGATCCATTTCTCTAATGATGGTTAGGATAGGGTGGGTCGCCTTAGAAAATGGGTAGATTGTTTTAAAATTTTCGTTGATTTTACTCTTTAACTAACCCTAAATATGATTGGTTTATATTTGCACAAACACAAAGTCACATGCACATACACACAAGGTTTTCATGGGGGTGTATTTTCACACATGTGGCCTTCGTGCTTTTCATGGGACTCAATCCAAACGCTTCAACTGCATTAGCATGACTCCTTTCGACACGTGGCATATTCCAGTTGGATTAGAACCCCTGGCAACATCTGAGCTGGAATGGCTTCCTGACACGCTGTCAGGTACTCGGGAAATGTGACGGGGTTAGCGGTGGCGGGAATGGCAGTGGGCTATTGCCCAGGTTCCCGCGCTGCGGCGCGGCATGGAGTCCGCTGGGGATTTGGTTGTGTTTTTCTCGCTTTCATGCTCTTCGGAGCCGAAGGGTAGCGATCACCGCATGACCTCTGGACATTCGCTTCCCTCTCTTCCTTCCTCTCGGATACTCTCCAGATACTCCCCGAATTTCAGTTAACGAAATCATTCCGGTCGTCGCATCCACCGTCGGAGATATGCGCTTATTCTCCTCCTCTGCCTGGGGTTAGATAGGGTGTCGGATCCGGCATCTCAGCAGTGAGAACGGAATGGGTGGGTGATCTCACTGACTTTTTCTGTGTCCCACGTGACGGTGTACTTCCAGCGCTGCATCTGACCAGGGAAGTTGATTGATAGAAAGGCTTTTTTCTCTGCACTGGCACTGTAAGGCAATGTGCAACTGCTGTCACCTCCCCGATAATTTCTCTGATACCGCATCCTTCAAGCTTCCGTGGCGTTCCCACTCTGTACTTATGTGTTTCAACGGAAAGGGACTGTCGAAGTGAGGTTATTAGGGTTAGAGAATGAAATTAGGGCTAGGGATAGAGTTTAGGTGGAGGAGTGTTTTCAATGGCTGAGCTGAATGAAGAGTGTTTTCTATGAGCATGGACCGTCATACTTCTTTGTCTGTTTGTCTGTCAATCCAGATTAGGTGGCAATCTATACTAGTGACTACTTCATACTTCAAGGGCTGAGGCAACAACCTTTGTAATTTAAAATTGTTAAAAAAATCTTTTAAGAGAAAAAGAGACTTGGATTTTGCATTCAGATTGAAATCAAGAGTAAGATTAATGTTGAGCAACTTGGTTTTTCCAATACTAACATTGTTTTTTAAAAAACATTGATTGCTAAGAACGTTGAGGTTTTGTAGTCAATGCCTACTTGATTTAAGGCTAAGTATAAAGTTTTAAAAATGATATTAAAAAATATATATATATATATATTTATATATATACATTAAAAAATATATATATATTTATATATATATATATTTATATTTATATATATATATATTTATATTTATATATATATATATTTATATTTATATATATATATATATTAATTTTTTTTATAATGATACTATACTTTAATGTAAGTAAAATAAAATCATACAATACAAATGTTATTCAATCTATTATTTAAGGTAGCTTAAATATAATATAGAAAGGCAAAGAAGCTTTTTGATTAGATGTTGAGAAGAAAATTCTAAAAGTTTGGAAAACACAAAGTAATTAGAGTCTAGAGTATCTTCAAGAACTGAGTTGTTCAAACTCAATAACAACTTCTTTACATTTTAGACTAATCAAGGTCTAAGTGCAAAGTGTTGTTGTTGCATGTCTTTGTGTCTACCATTACTGTTTATTGTGAGTCAAAATCCATCATCCTTTCTTTCTTGAAAGATCTAAAGCCATCTTTGCATTATAGTTGAAGACATAATAAACTTGCAAAAATTGAGGAACTGAAGACAATTTGTATATAAAAAGGAAGTATATGATTTAAGACTATTGATGCAACCTATAAGAACATGTATTTATGATTGGAATTGAACTAGTTGTAGTATATTGGTGGTTCAATAAAGAAGAGGAAAATTATCGATGTGAAGCAAGGATTATAAATCTTTGGTGCACATCTTATCTTTACTGTTTTAAATATTATAGATTATTATTACTATTTTTTTTCATACTTTGTTAATCTATGTAAGTGCCATTACTATCCATGAGATTTATCTTTGTTCAGACTTATTCAATTATTTTGTGGTTTTGGATAAATTTTGGTGGACAAATTGTAATCAAATTAATTTTAGAACAAAAGCTAAAAAAGCCCCTCTTTTTGAGTCTTTTGCATTGCAAGCTCTAGTCTTCCAAGAGCCAAATACATGCCTTGCATGCATACCTCTAAAGTCAATCTAAGAGCTTTATATGGGCTACAACTACTATTAAGAGATTCATAAGGTAAAATTCTATAGCCAAATTCTTTTTTTCTTCTTATAGTAAGTATGTTTATAAAGATTTCATGGTTTTAAAGACTCTCTAAGTTTTATTATATTGTTAAAATAAATAAGTAAAAATAAAATAAGTTACTTAGTAAAAGGTATTATCTTAGGTAAGTTGTTAATGGTCAAAAGATTGACTCTTGGTGTATAAAAAGGGTATGCTATGGATATAGGACTAGGTCAAGGACCAAGAGTCAAAGTCAAGAAGATAAAGTATTAATTAGGAAATATCCAAAGACTAGGTAAGAATAATTAGTGTTTGGTATAGAATACCCTTGTGGTTAGTAAGATGCCAAAGGATCCATGGACCA